ATCCAAGCCAACACTTTTTGCTTCTTGTCTTCCTGGATAGTCATTCTGACAGGGGTGAGGTGATATCTCATTGTGGTTCCAGTTAGCATTTCCCTAATTTGATTCCAGTTAGTGATTTCACATGTGATTTCTTGAGTCTACTGGCCATCTGCTTCTCTTCTTTGGAGAAATGTCCATTCAGATCCTCTGCCCATTTTATAAATCAGATTATGGCTTTTTGATTTTTGTTGTTGTTTTTCGCTGAGTTGTTTGAGTTCCTTATATATTTGGGATATTAACCCCATGTCAGATATATCATTTGCAAATATGCTCTTCCAATTACCCTTGAACCTTTGGTAACCATGAATCTAAAGCCTGCAATGGCAGTTAAGTACATATCTATCAATAATCACCCTAAATGTAAATGGTCTGAATGCACCAGTCAAAAGACATAGAGTCACTGAATGAAAAAAAACCAATACCCGTCTATATGCTGCCTACAAGAGACTCACTTTGAACCCAAAGACATACACAGACTAAAAGTGAAGGGATGGGAAAGATATTTCATGCAACTAACAGGGAGAAAAAAGCAGGAGTTGCAGTACTTGTATCAGACAAACAGACAAAACAGACTTCAAAACAAAGAAAGTAACAAGTGACAAAGAAGGACATTACACAATGATAAAGGGGTCAGTTCAACAAGAAGCTGTAACTATTATAAATATCTATGCACCCAACACAGGATCACCTCCGTATGTGAAACAAATACTAACAGAATTAAAGGGAGAAACAGAATGCAATGCATTCATTTTAGGAGACTTCAACACACCACTCACTCCAAAGGACAGATCAACCAGACAGCAAATAAGTAAGGAGACAGAGGCACTGAACAATGTATTAGAACAGATGGACCTAACAGACAGCTACAGAACACTCCACCCAAAAGGAGCAGGATACACATTCTTCTCAAGTACACATGAAACATTCTCAAGAATAGATCATACACTAGGCTACAAAAAGAGCCTCAGTAAATTCAGAAAAGTTGAAATTGTACCAACCAACTTCTCAGACCACAAGGGTATGAAACTGGAAATAAATTGCACAAAGAAAACAAAAAAAGCCCACAAACACATGGAGGCTTAATAACATGCTCCTAAATAATCAATGAATCAATGACCAAATAAAAACAGAGATCAACCAATATATGGAGACAAAAAACAACAATAATTCAACACTGCAAAATCTGTGGGATACAGCAAAGGCCATGCTAAGAGGGAAATATACTGCAATACAGGCCTACCTCAGGAAAGGAGAACAATCCCATATGAGCAGTCTAAACTTACAGTTAACAAAACTAGAAAAAGAACAACAAATGAGGCCCAAAGTCAATAGAAGGAGGCAGACAATAAAGAGTAGAGCAGAAATAAATAAAATTGGAAAGAGTAAAACAATGGAAAGACTCAATGAAAGCAGGAGCTGGTTCTTCAAGAAAATAAAATAAACCCCTAGCCAGACTTATCAAGAAAAAAAGAGAGTATACACACATAAACAGAATGAGAAATGAGAAAGGAAAAATCACTACAGACACCACAAACAAAGAATTATTAGAGAATACTATGAAAAATTATATGCTAACAAACAGGATAGCCTAGAAGAAATGGACAACTTTCTAGAAAAATATAACCTTCCAAGGCTGACCCAGGAAAAAACAGAAAATCTGAATAGACCAGTTAGTTACCAGTAATCAAAAAACTACTTAAGAACAAAACTCCTGGACCAGATGGTTTCACTGCTGAACTTTATCAAACATTTAGTGAGGACCTAATACCCATCCTCCTTAAAGTTTTCCAAAAAGTAGAAGAGGAGGGAATACTCCAAACTCATTCTACAAGGCCAGCATCACTCTAATACCAAACCAGGCAAAGACACCACAAAAAAGAAAATTACAGGCCAATATCCCGAACATGTGGAAATGACAGCCTCTTTAACAACTGGTGTTGGCAAAACTGAACAGCTACATGTAAGAGAATGAAACTGGATTATTGTCTAAACCCATACACAAAACTAAATTCAAAATGGATCAAACTCCTGAATGTTAAGTCATGAAAACATAAAACTCTTCAAAGAAAACATAGGCAAAAATCTCTTGAATATAAACATGAGCAACTTTTTCAAGAACACATCTCCTCGGGCAAAGGAAACAAAATTAAAAAATGAACAAATGGGACTACATCAAGCTAAAAAGCTTCTGTACAGCACAGGACACCATCAGCAGAACAAAAAGGCATGCTATAGTATGGCAGAATATATTTGTAAATGACATTACTGACAAGGGGTTAACATCCAAAATATATGAAGAACTCACATGCCTCAACACCCAAGAAGCAAATAACCCTATTAAAAAATGGGCAGAGGATATGAACAGACACTTCTCCAAAGAAGAAATTCAATTGGCCAATAGGCACGTGAAAAGATGCTCCACATCACTAATTATCAGGCAATGCAAATTAAAACCACAATGAGATAGCACCTTACACCAGTTAGGGAGGCCAACATAGAAAACACTAGGCCAACACATAAGAACAACAAACACTGGCGAGGATGCAGAGAAACGGGAACCCTTCTACACTGCTGGTGGAAATGTAAGCTAGTTCCACCATTGTGGAAAGCAGTATGGAGGTTCCTCAAAAAACTAAAAATAGAAATACTGTTTGACCTGGGAATTCCACTCCTAGGAGTTACCCAAAGAAAACAAGTTCTCAGATTCAAAAAGACATATGCACCCCTATGTTTATCACAGTAGTATTTACAATCACCAAGACATGGAAGCAACCTAAGTGTCCATCAGTAGATGAATGGATAAAGAAGACATGGTGCATACACACAATGGAATACTACTCAGCCATAAGAAACAAATCCTACCATTTGCAACAACATGGATGGAGCTAGATGGTATTATGCTCAGTGAAATAAGCCAGGTGGAGAAAGACAAATACCAAATGATTTCCCTCACTTGTGGAGTATAACAACAAAGCAAACCTGAAGGAACAAAATAGCAGCAGACTCACAGACTCCAAGAAGGGACCAGCGGTTTCCAAAGTGGAGAGTGTAGGAAGGCGGGTGGGGAGGGAGGGAGAAGGGGATTGTGGGGTATCATGATTGGTGCACATGGTGTGTGTGGGGTCACAGGGAAGACAGCATAGCTCAGAGAAGACAAATAGGGACTCTGTGGCAACTTACTACACTGATGGGCAGTGACTGCAATGGGGTATTGGGGAGGGGGAGACTCAATAATAAGGGTGAATGTAATAACCATATTGTTTTTCTTGTGAAACCTTCATAAGAATGTATATCAATGACACCTTAATAAAAAAAAAAAAAGGAAAAAAATATGCTCTCCCATTTAGAAGGCTGCCTTTCTGTTTTATGGATGGCAAAAGCAGAAGCTTTTTAGTGTGATGTGGTCCCAGTTATTTTTGCTTTCGTTGCCTTTGCATCTAAATACTTTTTAAGACAGGTTTTCAAAATATTGGTTGAATTTTATACTGTTTATCTAAAATTAGTAACAGTTACCCTAACAGACTTTTGACAATAAATACTTTTAAACACCATACTACAGAGTCAAGAATGCCTCCAAGTAAGTCTACTGTTTATGTGCACAGGGGAGTATCTTCCTGTCAGGTCTGTTACTCAGAAAGGTCTTCCAATAATCTAGGTACCCAGTCAGGTCTGCCATCCTGATGTCATGCACATATGTCTGTGTTAACACAAAAAGAATGTACATAATGTATTAAAATGAAAAGGGCAGGTTACAAATCACATTTGTATGATCTGATTTCCTTTCACCTTCAAAATAAAAGGATCTATACCTGACGCTAGTGCACAATGCCATGTTCCATTAGACGTGGGACACTGGCTGCTAAGGGACTCAACATCCAATCACAGCAGATCTAAGGTTACAGACGCAACACATTAGATTCAGAATCAGATTTTGTAAAGACTCCCTCATGCCAAAAATATCTGAAAGAAAAAAAATGGCTGTCACAGGCCCAAGCAATTTGGTTATTACCAATTATCAGGTGTTAGGCATGCTGTACTTCCTCTGCAAAGTGTTTACTGATGATTTAAAAAAAAATACTTTGCTTACCAAAAATATTTTCATATCAATTTTCCAATATAACCTCCACAGACACCATTTTTAGCAGCAATTTATTTCTCAGACTAACATGAAATTCATTAAGAATTAATGTGCTATAAGCACTGGGCGAATTCACACTCAGTTTGATGGTGGTCAGAATTTCACCCTTAGAGTTCTGACTTGCTCCAGCAAACTCCACAATTCTTCTAGAACGCCCTAGAAATGGGCATCCACCCCCAATGGGTGGCTTTTTCCAAATAACATCACTGTAAGTGAAACATCATGAAATTCACTTACAATCTTTCTCGAATGGGGTGAGGAACCACACTGCTCACCCTCAGAACTGAGCCGCGTCTCCAGGTCAGGACCACGGTAGGCAGGGCTCAGCACACAGAAAAAGGAGAAGCCATAGCCACAGAAGCACATGGAAATGGAGGAGCCGAGGGGAGGAAAAGGAGCCCCCGCCACAGTGGGCAGGGCTGGGGCTGCCATAGTGGGCAGGGCTGGGGCTCCCGCATCCCAGTGCCCACCGCCAGGAGCCTGTCCCACCCTCAAAGCCTCAGGCCCTTAGGAACCTCCTGAAGCCAAGCCACCCATACAGCTTGCGGCTAACCCAGCACAGCCACGAAATATTCAGTTTGTTATTTTAAAATTCTACAAATACCTAATACAACCAGACCTACTAGCTAAGGAAACACTTTCATTTCCTTTGGATAAACATTCGTGCTGGTTTCTTTCAGATGAGCAGACTGGAGAAGAGCTAGAGAAACACTTAGCCTTTTTTCCTAACATACACTTCTGAGCACAGCCCCCCTGCTAAAGGTGATTCACAGGCCAATCTCTCCAGGGAAGTCTTAAAAACCAACACATATGATTAACTTACATGATCAATGCTTCCCATTCAAAAAAATTCTCTTCATTCATGGGGCCTGTAGGGAAAGAGAAATTTCCACATTTTAACCTGAAGGCAATTTCAGCATTAGAAGTAAGTTATAAAGAGGTTAACTTTGGTACCTTACCTGCCACAATTCCTTCTGGAGGATTCAGTGTTAATTCTATGAAATTAAAAAGTAAAACCATTAGGAAACAGAATGAATACTATGTTGACATTTTAACAAAACAACTTTAAAAAGTATATAAAACTATACATTATATAGCATACATGTTAGCAGATTAAATCTCTTTGTCCAAAGTGAATGCCTGTCTCAGTTACACTTCTGATACAAGCCATGATGAGTTCTTTATAACAGCAAACTAAGGAATTTTAGAGGTATAAACCTCTCATATCACAAAAGAAGAAACACACACAAGAGGTCACTGTCTTTCCAAAATACTCCTGCTGGTTATTTGGATTAAAGCTCATAAATCAAACACAGTATATTAGTTTCCAACTGAATGGCATTTCCTGCCATCTTGGGAGTTGGAACAAACCCTTCTGAACGTAACAAACTAGAGATATGAACAGCGCTGTTTCCAAAGCTTGGCATTATGAAATACAACAGCACTGTACGCCTAGCTGTCTGTCCATCTTCAGCACCACAGATGTGATGTTCTACAGAACTCAGATTCAGCACTGAAAATAAAAACAGGAAGAAACCTGTCAGCAGCAGCATTTCTCAGCAATTTAAGAAGATGAGCAATAGCTGAAAGATAAGGTCTAGCTCTCTCTCTCAGAAGCTGCCGCTAAGAAATGCCACTTCTGCCCCTGGCCCTCCTCGTTTTACAGGGGAGGCTGCAATGAAAGCAAACCAGCGGACACACTTGGGAAGGCGAGACGGGCCACAGACAAGAAGGGTGGCAGGCGGGAGGATGGAGTCGGGCCACCGATGCGCACCCTGCAGGGCCAGTGCTGCAGGACAGCCTGGAGGAAGCACGCGGAGAGAAGGTCACAGGAACCTACAGCTGGGTCTCTGAGGAGACGGAAATCACCCAGTCCCTGAACATAATAAATGCAAGGCATTCGATCGGAAGAGAAGAAATAAAGCTGTCATTATTCACAGATGCTATTGATGTTCACAGAAAATCCCAAAGAATCTGAAAATAAATTATTAGAAAAAGGAGTCTGCCAATGTTGCTGAATACAAGTGTGTGTGTGTGTGTGTGTGTGTGTGTGTGTGTTTGTGTGTGTGTGGTAGAACTGTGTTTTTATATATTAGCAAGTTAGAAAATCTAAAAATACCAATTATTAATGGGACACATAGAAACAAGATTTTAAAAGATGTGCAAGATCTGTAGCAGCTTTAAGTCACTAAACAGAGATTATACCATGTTCCTAAATTTAAAAAACTTGACATTATGAAGTTATCAGCTCCCCTCAAACTGAGCTCAATGCCTCAGCCAAGTCCCAACAGGTTTGCTGCTTGCTGAATGTGACAAGATGACTCTCAAGGTGTATGAAAATGCCAACGGCCTGGAGGGGGCCGGGAGTGCCACACCAGGGCTGCAGGGGTTGTGGTCAGACAGGCGGCCTGGCACTGGCCCGAAGCTGCCTATCCCAATGGGGCAGGATGGAGATGCCCACGCAGGCCCTGACCCCACTCCCCACAAGGAGGGCAGTCAGTCTTCCCACAAACAATACTGACCTTTAACACCAATAAATAAGACTTCCTCCCATCTTATGCTACATACAAAAATCAAAGTATGACAGAAGGGGGAGAAGAGGCATGTGAAGTGATACAAATACAGCTGCTCCCAGTTCCCAGCATGGAGCTCCTGAATCCCGAGGAACTTCCTGGGTGACAGGAGCGTCTTTGGTTCTAAGGAGGCGGCCCTGGATGGGCTCCAGGATGGGGGCTGGTCCCGGACCCTTTCAGCTCCACCCCACCCCACCCCGGGACAGGGGCTCGATCCTGCCTAGTGAGGAAGGCTCCCTAAGGCCCCGGCTGAAAGGAGCTCCCGGAGCTCCCAGTGGGTGAAACCTCATGCTTTCAGTGTAAGACTTCTTAAACAGGGCTGACTAAGAGTTAGTGACTAAAGAGCATGAACCATAAAGGAAGAGACTGGTGACATTAAGAGCATTAGACTTAGGACCCTCGGATGCCAACATTCTTCCAGGGAGAAGGCCAGCCGGAGAGGAAGGAGGAACCTGCACAGGTGCCACCACTACACGGAGCCCTAAGGAAAATCAACCACAAGCCTGAACAGGCACTGCACCAAAAACAAAGTGCCTAAGTGGCCAATAAATATACAGCAAGGTGGCTGCCTTATTATCCATGGGACAGGCGAGCTACATCACCACCCCAATGAGAATGACCCAGTAACCTGAGCTTAGAGCTGCCAGGAAGGCATATCTGCACAAATGAGAGGCCTGGTTGGTAAGACCACCCTGGACACAGGGCTGCTGTGAAGTACCAGGCCCAGCAACTCCCCTTGGGGGAATGCGATCCCAGGAACACATGCACACGTGCACCAAAGGGCATTGGTAAGAATTCTTTTTTTACTTGCTGACATTAGAAGAGCTGCAGGTTCTAGGTTAACAGCCAGCAATGCTTCTACGCAGAGCAGTTCATCACTATCACACCCATTCCCCTATGAGTCAGCCTCTGGAGAACATGGGGAAACAGGAGGGGAGATGTCACTAAATGTAAGACGGCTTCTGTACTGGAACTGGCACTCCCCCTAAGGAGACGGAGGGACCAAGGCCGAGGACTGGCCTGGCCCACGCCAGAGGAAGCACGGCCACTCACTGCATTCCCGATGAAGGGCCATGACGACTCTCCATCTTAGAACACAGGACAATTCAAGTATTTCATTGTCCTCATGAAAATACGGTTCTAACCTAGCTTAGGTCTGTCCTGGGTCACTATTTTGCTACATGATTTATGAATCGAAAAGTACATGGTTACAATTCTAATCACAAAATCATCACATTCTAGGTGATACTTTTTCTCTCTGCATTTGCTTCACCATCATATCTGAAGCTCTGAGGTGCTGTACCCGAGGTACTGAAGCCCTGGGGCAATGGTCTGAGTACCCCACTCGGCCAGCATGACTGGAAGTGGCCCATGAGCTAACCAAATACCAATGAGCAAATGCCAATTTTACTTCTCTGCCAAGCACGTGGTGGTGAAGTGACTTCCAACTGCTACCAAATTATACAAGCTTTCCAGTTACACTCCCAGGTAACAAGTAACTGGCAAATACAGCTGACCCTCCTGAGGGCACTCAGCCCCCAATAGGGCTGTCCCAAGTCACTCCTTTCAGCTTTGGAACCAAATGAACACCTGAAACTTCCTCTCCTCTTGCCCAGTACCTGCCCCTCCCACCACTCCAGCATTTCCCTTACGCTTTGTTACTGGGCTCCTGTGCAAAACCTGTGGATTATTAAATGTTTTCCACAAGCGAAAAAAGAGATGCAGTGGTGAATGCAACAGACAAGGCCCATGCCTTCGATGAGCCTACTTCCAGAAAGACACAAATAAGAAGACAGTGTCAGATACCAATGGGCATAGTGAAAAGGGGGACAGAGTAAAGTGACACAAAGACATGGCCTAGGCAGCCACAAAGGCCCTGCTGTGGAGGTCATACTGGAGGTGGGTTCTTTTTTTACCTGAGATATAACTGACACATGACATTATATTAGTTTCAAGTGTACAACACAGTGAGTCAATTTTTCTATGTATTTCAAAAGGACAACCACAGTAAGTCTTAGTTACCACCCATCAACAGTTACAATTATTTTTCTTGTGATGAGAACTTTTTAGATCTACTAAGATCTAGCAACTTCCAAATATACAGGACAGCACTAGTAACTGTACTGACCATGCTGTACATTACATTCCCGTGACTTAGTTATTTTACAACTGATATTTGTGCCTTTGAACCACCTTCACCCATTTTGTCAGCTCCCCACCTCCTGCCTCTGCCAACCACCAATCTGTATCTGTGAGTTTTTGTTTTTGAAGATTTCCCATATAAATGAAATCATATGGTATGTGTTTTTCTCTGTCTGACTCATGACACTTAGACTCATGGCACTTAGCATAATGGTCTCAAGGTCCAACCACGTTTTTGCAAACAGCAAGATTCCCACCTTCATATGGCTGAATAAACAGCTATTCTATATATATTATCATCAGCATTATCATAATAGCCAAGAAAAATAGAAAAAGTTCAAATACCTATCAATAGTAGAAGAGATCAGTGTGGTATATTCATACGACAGAACAAAAATGAAAATAAATGATGCACAGTTACACACAACATAATCTTGTGTGAAGGAAGCCAGGCCTACTTTGTATATATACAATGTATAGAGTGCACACACACACAATATAGAATACACAATATATAATCACACTTACAGATTACACTCTTCAAAACACAGGTAAAGTTAGACACAGTGTTTAAGAAAGCAGGCTTCGGTGGACAAGCCAAGCCAAGCAGGGAGTGACCTGTGGGGACAGAGCTGCGCTGTGGCCCGCACCGCAGGCTCCCGCTCCTCAGGCAGTGATGCTCAGAGCACTCCCAGCTGAACAGGCCTTTTCTGGCATTCTTCTTTCTGTTAGCATAATCCAAGCTGATGAATAGGTTCAGAAGTGGTGACTGCAATTGTCCAGGCAGGAAAGATGATGGCTTGGACGAGAGTGGCAACTGTAAAGTTGGAAAGAGGGCATGAACTGGGGGACCTGTTCTGCAGTTACGAAAGGCAGGGCTTCCTGGCAAACTGGATGTGGTACGTGAGGATAAACAGCAGTGGTCCAGGCTTCTGGCCCAGACAACTCAGTGCATGCTGCTGCCATTTCTGGGGCGGAAGGGGAGGAACAGGTTTGAAGGAAAAGCAGGAGTTCCAGTTTAAACATACCAAGGTCCAGACGTCCAGCAAGCAGACAAGTAGAGATGATGGGCAAGTGGCTGGAGAAATGGATCTAAAGCTCAAGGGAGAGAGTGACCCTGGAGATTTAAAACATGGGAAATGATCTGCACAGGAGTGTATGGGGCCCTTGGGACAGATGGGGCTCCCCAGAGCAGGTCTCCCAAGGAACATTCGTAAATACAGGGTGCTGTTTCCCGGTCTTCACAAAGGCTGGGGCATGCTACGGCCATCTGGTAGGAAGGAGCCAGGAGTGCTTAACATCAGCCATAAATAAGTCCTGCACAAGCGAAAACTACTTTATTCTAAATGCCAACAACACCTGTTTGAGAAACCCTGACCCAGGAAACTGGTAACACCACAGATGACGGCTCTGTTCCCAGGGGTGTGCTAACGCTGAGAAGCAGGAAAAGAAAGGAAGCAGGAGACATTCAGGAAGGCCAGAGAAGCAGGGCAACGAGTATTGAACACTTTGAGGAGGAAAGAATCAAATGCAAATGGAGTCAAGTACCAGGAAGGCAGAGACCCTTGGACTCAGCAAGACCATCTCAGTCCCTCTTTGAGTCTCATCAGGGTAGTGGACCGGGAACAGTGAACCCAGAACCCAAATCACCTGGCTGTAGACATCGACTCATCTGAAATCCAGTCTTTGTGTCTAAAATCAAATCACCTTATTATAAGAAAAATAAATAAATAATCAAAAGATGAAGGCAGATGATTTATAAGCTGCTAAGGGGCTGGGGAGCGGGGCAAGGAAAGGGTGCAGGGTGCCTAAGGGCAAAGCAGATAAATCACACCAACCATTTTCAGGGAATGCGAAGAGGGGCTTACAACCAAGAGGGGCTGGCTGTCTTCTTCCTTTGTGGACAGAGTTCCCCCTCAGAACTTCCCTCTGTCATACCTGCCCTTCCGGGAGAGGCAAGGGGGGGTTAGACTGCAGCTGGAGACCATCCGGCACCTTCCACCAGCCTCCTTATTCAACAGCGGCATCTGCTGGCCAGTAATGGGCTCAGTAACCAACAGAGGTCAGAGGGCGGGCCCTAATCCACTCCGGCTGTCCTCGCAGAGATGTGCAAGGACAGGAAGGAGACTACAAGCCCAGAGACAGGCCTCAGGAGGAACCAGCCCTGCCAACACCTGGATCTCGAGTGTGAGAAAATTATTTCTGTTGTTCAAGTATTGTTCTGTGGTATTTTGTTATGGCAGCCCCAGCAAGCCACTATAGTGCTCAACAACTGTATGGCTGTGGGTAAAATTGTAACATTTCCAGAATATCTCACCTGGCTTTGGTATATCTGCATATCAACAGGCGCTCAAGGGTGGAGAGAAGTATGGCTTTAGTGCATTTGCATCATTCCTCAGGGGTGGAGAGAAATTCATTCCATATCAATGGGTAATTCCCTGGGCAAGGAGGGCGTATCTGTACCTGAGAGGGGAGGGGAGGGCCGGTTTCACTGCTGCTGAAGCAGGAAAAAGAGATGGGCCGGACTGCAGTTTGTAAGCAATAAACAGGTTTTAAACTTTATTTCTCCCTTTGACTGATTTCAGTTTTTAGAGGTATTTTGCCCCGGGAATCCCTCTCCCCGGACTTACAGTGCCATTTGCAAATAACCTGCAAAGGAATTTTGCCCTTTATCTCATACTATTCACACAGCTCTACTTGATATGGATCACTGATGTAAATGACAGAGTAAAAACTGTAAAAATTCATAGGAGAAAAGTTCAGTGAGCTCACGTTAGATGATGGATTAAACATAACAAAAAGAGAAAGCAATAAAGATTTTAAAAGTAAGTTGAGCTTTACTGAAATTAAAAAAAGAACCTTCTGCTCTTTAAAAGGAAAGCTACAGAGAACATTTCATGGTCAGAACCTCAGCCCTGCATGGTCGTGGAGACCATGGTACAACATGCACAGAGCTAGCAACACTGTAATGTACATTTAGAAACTGGTGAGAAGCCAAGATTGCTTTTTACCACAATTTTTTAAAAGGCAAGCCATGGTTTAAGGGAAAATTCTCACTAAATATCCAACAAAAGACAGGTAAGTAAATTATATAAAGAACTTGTACAACTTAATGATAAACACGATTAAACAGTGAGCC